AAGCGCTTCCAGTCGCCCCTGTCCGGCGGGAGATCCCTCGATCGGGAGGATGGGGCGCGGGGCACGGAAGGGGCCTTGTGGTGCCTCTGCCCCTCGCTGTGCTTGAGCAGGCCGGGAGAACGTAGGGATGGCAGCCACAGTGCAAAGGCACGACTTTCTTAACTGTGTTACAAGTAGCTTCTTAATCGAGTTAAAGAGGTTGTAGCTATGTTTCAGAAAAAGCAGGCTACAACTGTGTGTTCTGTTATTCTCTGTACATCTGTGATGTTCAGGTAACCTTGCATGCTGCTTCCACTGCTACTTTTAGTAAAGTTACGAGGTGGCTAACAAAAACCAGGCCTACTTTAAATTCTGTGAAACACCTTAAAAATGTGTATTTTTGACCTTGACGATCGGACTAAATGTTACTTGCTAGTATTGTCTTAAAGCCATGAAAAAGTTGGCATGAGTTTTTATGCTGGCAATTGGAAACTTCTCATTATTGGAGATTATCACTGTAAGAAACAAAAGGTGTTGGGCACAGCTTCTTTATGTAGGTGTTTAGATGAATAAATCAGGGGTGATGCTTTCCTGAACCTGCTTCTCGTAAACAGGGAGGTCAATGATGATCTTGACTGTGATGATCACGGAATAATCAAGTTCCAGGCCCTGAATATAGTGAGGAAAGTAAGTAGCAGAGTACAGAACATGGATTCTAGCTTATTCAGGCCTCAGAACTCCAGCTTCTTCAAGCAACAGGTAGCTGAGATTTTAGGGGAGGCAACTTTGAAAGTTGGAGGAGCTGGAGAGGTGGAGATCTGTAAGGACGGGGACGTTCCATCCTGATACTCATGACAACGAGTAGGCACGTTGAGGGATGGGCACAGCTATGCCTGCACTTCAGGGAGGATAGAAAGAACATATGCAGGTGGTGGAAGCAAGGACAGACTGTGAAGAATAAGGATTAAAAAAGTTGTCTGGGCGTGTAGGTATCATGCTGGGACAGCCAAAGTTCTAATGTTGAAACTAGCAAGGAATGTCAAGGGTGACTTTTTACTGCTATGTTAGCAGTAAAGGGGGCAAGGGAAGAATGGGAGCATGCTGCTAAATGGG